AGGACTGTGGTGGCTGGTCTCCAAGATGGCCCCGAGGAATCCTGGCCACTGGGACTCGTGCTCTGGAGCAGCCCCTCGATCTGGGCTGGCTCGTGATGGCTTGAGTTGGCAGGGGCGGCGAAAGGCACTGTGTGCTCCTGGGGCCCTGAGCTGCTGTAGGATGTCTGGCTTTTCCACTGGCATGGCCACGTGGAGAGAGCCGGGCTTCGCCGTCTCAGCCAGCCCCAGCCTGCCAGTCCTCCCTGCGAGGCAGCAGGTGCATGAGCGCCAGCCAGGTGACCCTAGACAACCGCGGTCCCAACCATCACCATGCACAGAAGACCACCCAGGGGAGCCTGCTGCAGAAATGTGTGCAATGACAAAGTGGCTGTCCTTTGAGCCCAGCACCAGAGAACCAAGGCCACAGGGGCTCTGCTGCACCTGGGACCCAGGCTCTGCACCCACGTGGCCCCCCAGCCCTGTGATGACATTACCACCGGAATATGACTTGCTTTCTTTTATTTTTTTTTTTATTTTTTTTTTAAAGACTTTATTTATTTATTTGACAGAGAGAGAGAGACAGTGAGAGAGGGAACACAAGCAGGGGGAGTGGGAGAGGGAGAAGCAGGCCTCCCGCGGAGCAGGGAGCCCGATGCGGGGCTCGATCCCAGGACCCTGGGATCATGACCTGAGCCGAAGGCAGACGCTTAACGACTGAGCCACCCAGGCGCCCCTGACTTGCTTTCTTTTAGTGCCAGCCTGCTTTCATCTTTATGCCAACGACTTTATACCTCTGCCCCCATCTTCTTTTATACAAATACCACCTGAGCTTCTAGGAGCACCTCCCACCTTCAGCAGAACCCACTGCCGAATACCCGAGTGCGCTGCTGAGTACTAATTAACAACCGACAGCGTGGCTGCCCACCAGCCAGAAGGGTCACAGCCGTGGGGCCAGATATGAACCCTTTGGTCTCCGGGCCGTGGAAGAGGTCCAGAAGTCTCCAAGGAGGGTCCGGCTGGCTGAGGTAGAGGGCACTCGGTTATGGACAGATGGTATGGAAGTCATGCGGTAATTTAGCACTGAGGCAGCTGGATACCTGCATGCTTCTTTGAGGGCTCACTCAGACACACCCTCCCTCCTCAGGGCCCATGGGACATGCCCCGGGATGTGCCGTCTGCAACGCACATTTGGAACACCCCCTTCCCTGAGCATCCACCTCCCAGCTGGATGTTTTCACCAACTGCCAAGCCCCTAAGCCTAAGGATTGAGGGGTGACGTTCTAAGAAGTCTCACTGTGGCTCACCCCCAAACCCTTGCCTCCAAGAGCATGGCAAAGTGGACTTTCCTGCCCATGCCCTGCTCTGGTCCTTGGGACCGAATGTAGGAACGCTGCCACGAAGAGGGCACATGTTTTTTGGTCATTTTTTCTAATTACTGAATCAACCCACCTGTATAGAGGCAGACAGATAAAGAAAATAAGGTGATCTGGGCCCTGGGTATGTACCAGGATCCGGGCATTTCCAGTCTCGGGGGAGGAGTGGCCGCCCAGCCCTGTGGCTGAAGACACCAACTTTGCAGGAGGAGGGGCTTGGGTTCAAATCCCCACTCTGCATGCCACCGCCTCACCTTCCTGAGACTCTGCTTTCTCTTCTGAAAAACAGTGGTACTAACAGTTGCCAGCATGTGGGGATGGTCGCAACAGCCACACAAGACGCCACAGGCCGTGCCCAGGCCTGGCACATGGCACGCTCCTGGAGGATGGTTGCTATTAGATATGAACACATTCATGAATAGGAGACAATACTTACCTGTTCTTTACAGATGGCTTTTGCTCACTCTGTTACAAACACCTTGCCATGCCAATCAGTACTCCTTATGACATTGTAGTTTTTTTTAAGATTTATTTATTTATTTGAGAGAGAGAGAGAGAGAGTGCACACACAGAGGGAGAGGGAGAAGCAGGCTTCCCGCTGAGCAGGGAGCCAGATGTGGGGCTCGATTCCAGAACCCTGGGATCATGACCTGAGCCGAAGGCAGATTCTTCACCGACTGAGCCACCCAGGTGCCCCACGACATCGGTTTTAACCAATATTCTGCTGTGGGGACACAGCACTGAGTTCTTACCACTCTGAATGGACATTTAAGCTGTCAGCGAGTGGTCTTTTTACAAACAAAAGCTATGTAACTGCTCCGTAACCCCAGGAGATGCCGCTGGGGGTTTCTTGGGAGGCTGCTGGCTGTAGGGCTCCTGGGACACACAGACAGGGGGGTGGGGACACAGCATCTGTCTATGGTGCAGGCGAGCTAGTGGCTGAGAGAACTCAGGGCAGAGTGAAAGACAGGTTCTGGGCGGTTCCCAGAAAGGAGCAGGACTCCCCAAGATCAAGGGCAGGAGGAGTGGAGTAGAAGAAAGACCCAGCATGAGGCTGTTGTAGGTTCTCCTCTGTCAAGGGCATCCTGCTCTTAGGATTGACTGAGACACTGTGCACACAAACAGCACGGTGTGTGGGGCGTAGCAATTGTCCCCGCGTCTTAGTTGTTGCCGTGGATTTCATTTGCTACTGTTAACTGCACGGCTGGGCAAGCCACTTTCCCTCTCTGCACCTCTGTTTTCACTTCCATGGGCCTTGGTGGAGACGGGATGGTAGGCACTTGATTCCATTCTCTCCCGAGGTCCCCTTACCTGTGGCTCCTTCTGGAAGGTTGCTTGATGAGGCAGCAGGTGGCTTCAGCACCAGCGAGTCAGGACAGCGCCTAGAGCTGTCCAGGGTCTGAATTCATGGGGGCGGAGGGACCCCCGCTGGAGGAGGGCCGCAGAGGCGTGGGCCGCGGGGATGTAGCAGCAGGGATGGCGGGAGACGGACGCATGCTCTGCGCCTGGGAACAGTGACCCTGCCATGTGACGGTGGCTCGCGGGATCACAGCCTTCCCAGAGGTTCTGGCAGCCCTAGTGCGGAGCTGGGATGCCTCGCTTAGGGGCACGAGGACCGAGGCCTGCCCTGTGCAGGTGCCTTGGCCACCCTCCCCCCACCCCCCATCAGCCCTCTCCCCTGATCTCTGTGGTCCAGGGTGAGCCAGGCCCTGGATATCACAGTTTTGGGAACAAGTGGATGAAAATGCCGCTCAGCCTGAGCTTGGGCGCAGGAGCCCTCTAGCTGTGTCGTCTGTGATTCTCCCAAACTGGAAACCACCCAGAAGTCCACCGACAGCCCATCGTGTGCGGACACACTGCAGAGAGTCCTACAGCAGAATATCACACGGCAGGGAAAACGGATAGGGGACAGTCACACTCAGCAGGGATGAATCTCTCAGCGTGATGCTGGGAATAAGCAGGACGCAAATTATTCCGTGTGGTTCTGGTTACAGAAAGCTCCCAGGCAGGCAAGATAAAGGATGGCATTTGGGGCTGCAGGCCAGGGAAGTGGTGACTGTCTGCAGAGGAAGGGCAGGGACCGGGAGGGTGGGCCTCACTTTTATTCATTCAACCACCAATTTATGTTGGATGCACCTTCCCATATGTTGAGTCCATTTCAAAATGAAAAAGTAAAAGAGAGAAAGTCACCGGGGGTCATTGGACTTTCTTGGGGAGAGGGCTATTAAAACCCATATTCAAGGGCATTGCTGCCGGTCACTCAATCTGTGGCCAGGAATTCACACACTAACTGGGTCCCTCCTCGGTTCTGAGGCGTGGGCCTGTGACTCCTCAAACTCATGACCATGGACCCCCAAGATCAAGAGTTGCATGCTCTACTGGACCGAGCAAGCCGGCGCCCCTGAAATCTGCATCTTAAATGCCTTGGAAGAGCCAGGCCCCTGGCCATGTGGGGGAAACAGTCTGGGACTTCTGCTTTCTGGGCCAGCTGACGGGCACCTTTGTGGTCTCCTCCCAAGGGCTAGCCAAGAGAAGATATGCCAACCATGCCCCCTCGTGGGGCACCCAGCAGCAAGGGCCCGGGGCACCCCTGCTTCCCAGAGCCCCCAAACTTGGGCTCTAGACCTGCCTCTCGGCCGGAGCGAGCCACTCCCCCTCCCAGGCCTCGGTCTGCCTTCTGGCACACGCTGCCCTAGGTGCTTAGTGAGCACGTCATCCCTTCCTTTCCAGAGCACTGCAAAGGGCCCCCAGGGGCTGGACCCCACACCAGAGTCACTTGCAGACTGTAGACCCCGGAGCGCTTCCCAGTTAATCCCAGCCTGGCCTCTCAGGGTAAGGGGGCCCGTCCGTGCCCTCCCCACCTCCTCCCTGGATTTCTGCCTCCTCCTGTTAGACCGCCAGTGGCTCAGCTGTCCAGCAGGATTCTTCTCAGCCTGAAGAACTCCCGGGGAGCCCCTGCCCCTGGCCTGGGAGGGGACGCAGGGTGGCAGAGCGGGTCTCCTGCTGGGGAGGGAAGCCGCACTAGCGGCCGCCACCGCCGGGTTGGCAGTCACTCCTGCAGGGGGAGGGCGAGGGGCGTGCGGGAGCAGGGAGAAGTTGGCAGGGCTGTTGCGTGTGTGTGTGCGAGCATACACAGCGCGTTCGCGTGGCATTGCAGCCTGCAGGGTGAGAAGCCTCTGTCCGCGGACTGCCTGAGGTGACGGGGCTGTCTTCCCCTGTCCCCGTCTCTGGAAGGAGGAAGAAGGCGATAAAGCTCCTCACTGGGCAAGTTCTCTGAGCTCACAGGTTTCTCCTGGGGGCTGGGCTGGGAGCCAGCGGTGGTGGCCTCCCACCTGGGGGAATGTTTCCTGAGGAAAGGCTAGCATGCAGGCGGGGTGGGGAGATGGAGGTGGGAGGATGGGGTCTTCTGAGAGGCGGAGGAGGCAGGGATGGGGCAGACTCCCAGCAGCAGGGAGGCTGTATATCTGAGGGGGCTGCTATGAGGTTCCGTCCTGGGGCTGCCCGCCTCCAAGGCAGAAGGCACGTGAGGCCCTTGGGGAAGGGGGGTCGCAGCAGCTGTGCTGGGATCCCGGGCTGATGGTCTCCTCGGCTAAACAGAAAAGGAGGCTCATTTTCAGGAGAGCAACGGGCTGGGGGCCTCGCGGGTCCATGTGTGCAGGTGGCTATGAGTCCAGTGTGGAGGGTGTGTTCCAGGTCCTTGTGCACATGGTATGAGAGTGGGCAGTGTGTCTGTCTGTATGGTATGCACACCTGTTCAGTGGGGGCGTGCGTGAGCCTGTGTTGGGTTTACATACACGTGTGTGCACTTGGGTCTGTGTGTTTTGGGTATAGGGTGTGGGGGGGATAGTTCAGTGTGTGTCCATGAAGATGCGCGTGCGGCACGTCCGTGTGTCTGCGTGTGCAGCCGCGTGTGCTGGGTCTGCTGTGGAGGGGAGCTTGGTTCAGGAGTGTGTGTGTGTGTATGTGCTTGTATGTCTGCATGTCGCGTGTTGCTGTGTGTGGGGGAGGAGCCATGGGCTGCCTCTGTGTGCGAACGCCTGGAGACGTGTGTGCAGGTGTGTGGACAGCATCCTAGGGACCACCACTTCTCTCCCGGCCCTGCGCCAATTCTGCGCCCTGGCCCCTGCCCCGTGGGGGCTGCCTCTCAGGCCAGGCAGGACTGGGCCGAGCACCCGGCCTGGCGACTGTCTCTGGGTGTGGTCTGCCTCAGCCTCGCCTGCTTCTCACCCGCCCCGGTTCTGGGTCCGACTGGGGGTGGGCCTGGCTAGTGAGGAGGCAGGGCGGGGCTGCCAGTGGAGGGGCAGGAAGACCCTGGCCCATTTCCAGAAAGGCTCTGCTGTGGCCACGGCCTGGGGCTTGTGGGCAGGAGCCAGTCTCTGGCTTTCGGCTCTGCTCCTGGGAAACCACAACGGGGCTTCCCACCAGCCCGGCGTGCTGATCTAGCTCGCTCCCTGCAGCGCCCGAGGAGGGACCTGCTGTTGTTACCCCTGCTGACAGATGGGGGTGCCGAGGCTCAGGGAGCGTAACCAGGCGCCAGGTCCACAACTTTCTGCGCCTTGCCGTTTCTCAAGAACCTCACCGCGTCCCTGCGCAGCAGGTACTTCTGGCCTCCCCATTTCATAGATGAGCTCGTTGAGACTGAGCTGCTGTGTGCCTTCGTCACAGCACAGGGCAGCTGATGTGAGCAGTCAGGGTGTGCTGGGCCCAGAGCTGACCTGCACTCACCCGCACGACTCCTGCCCCTTGTGTGTGAGGTATGGTTGTCCCTGTGTTGATGCTCCAGGAAAGCGAGGCTTGTGGGGAGGCTCAGCAATGTTGTCAGCAGAGCCTTGGACATGTATTCCCTGTTCCGTCCCCTCACCTGGCCAGGCAGAGCAATAGCACAAGCAGAGGGCCCCGTGTGTCCCTGGGGGCCTGGCTTCTAGCAGAGGCTGGTGTTGGTTGGGCCCCGCAGGTGCACAAGGCCCGGCCCCACTGGCCGTGGATGTGTGCTGGAGCCCCCTCTTCTTGCCCCCTCCAGCACCTGGTCAGCCACCATGGAAAACGGGAGCAAGCTGGACAAGCCCAGCCATGTGTTGCAGGCACGTGGAGAGGCTGTCCTGGACCTGACGAGTACAAGGTGGTCTCAGTCTTCCTGGTGCTCCTGGTGTGCGTGACCGGCATAGTGGGAAACGCCACAGTGGTCCTGGTGGTGCTGACCGCTCGCGACATGCACCCCACCAACTGCTACCTGGTCAGCCTGGCTCTGGCTGAGCTCACCATGCTGGTGGCCGCAGGGCTGCCCTACGTCTCTGACAGCCTGGCTGGGCAGTGGGTCCATGGGCACGCCGGCTGCCTGGGCATCACTTACTTGCAGTACCTGGGCATCGGCGTCTCCTCCTGCTCCATCCTAGCGTTCACCGTGGAGAGGTGGGTGCTCCCCGGCCCTGCCCTGCATGCATCTCCCTCCCACAAAGCAACAAGCCGGGACTTCCCAGCTGGGAGGCTCGGAAGCTGAGCCTCAGCTGAGCAGGAGGGCTGATTTCCCCTTTCCAGAGAGGGGAGTGGGGTGGGACCCTGGAAGCCCGGGCCCGGGAAGCAGGGGTCAGAAGGACTCTTCTCTCATCTCTGCTGCTGACTTGCCTTGAGCTGCCGAGGCAATCCTACATCTCCGGGCATCAGTTTCCCCACCTGGGAAGTGGGCATTTGGACTGGACATTCTCTGGGGTTCCTTCCGCTCTGATTTTAGCCCCGAGAGGTGGTGTAACCCAGACTTAAGCATGTGGACTCCGATGCTTGCTGACTGGGTTCACACCTGGCTCTGCGCCTTCCTAGCTACATGGTCTTGGGCAGGCTGGCCCAGAGGCTGGGTGGCTTGTCCAGGGCCACATAGAATTGGGACATAATTGAGGCCTTCGGACTTCCAAATGCTGGCCTAGTCCTGATTCTCCTGGGCTGTGGCTGTCTGGGCTCCAGTGACCTCCATCTCCTGCCCGCGCTGGTTTACCCCAGGGCCTGGCAGGGTGGGGACCCGCGTCTGAGCCGGCTGAGAAGGGCGTGTGATGTCATTGGCTGCCTCAGTTGGTGACCTTTGGAGGTGGGCAACTAAAAACCCACGGGGCTCTTGCAGAGGTCAAAGGTCTTTGAAAGGGCCCTGGGGTCCCTGGGCCTGCAGCAGATGCGGCTGAGCCTGGGGGGCCTCCAGGGGCCTCTAGCTGCAGCACTTCCTACACGCCCTCAACACGGCTGCCTGGCCCCCTGGATCTTCATGGCCCTCAGGTTCTTCCATGACAGGACCAGATGGGGGATCTGATGGGCCAGGCTGGGTCGTGAGCGCGTGCACGCACACACACACGTGTGCTCGTTCACACGTGCACATGCCCACGTGCCCACACAGGGCTCCCCGACCCCGCTGCCCCAGTGCCCAACACGGCCGCCCCGTGGCTGCAGGTACGTCGCCATCTGCCACCCAGTGCGGCGCAGACCGTGTGCACCGTGGCCCGGGCCAAGCAGATCGTCGCGGCGGTCTGGGGGGTCATGTCTGTCTACTGCCCGCTCTGGTTCCTCCTGGTGGACCTGCACGTCAGCGAGAGACAGGGCCCGCAGTGCGGCTACAGAGTGTCCCACAGCCTCTACCTGCCCATCTACCTGCAGGACTTCGCCCTGTTCTTGGCCACGCCCCTGCTGGTGGCCACCGCCCTCTACCGGCTCATCGGGAGAGTCTTTTTTTTTTTTAAAGATTTTATTTATTTATTTGAGAGAGACAATGAGATAGAGAGAGCATGAGATGGGGGAGGGTCAGAGGGAGAAGCAGACTCCCCGCCGAGCAGGGACCCCGATGCGGGACTCGATCCCGGGACTCCAGGATCATGACCTGAGCCGAAGGCAGTCGCTTAACCAACTGAGCCACCCAGGCGCCCTCATCGGGAGAGTCTTGTTCCAGAGTGCCCTGCCCCACCCGCCCCACCCCCGGGCCAGGCATGGTGAGGCCTGGCAGGAGCCAGGAACCCAAGAGAAGCAGCCCCGGGGGCCAGGTGGGAGCCCCAGGTCTTCCAGGAAGCAGGTGGGTGAGGTCTCCGGGAGAGTTGGGTGGGGTTGGCCGGAAGGTGGCTGGTGGGCAGAGAGGCAGGGAGAGGTGCGAGGCAGAGCTGGGCAGAGAGGGGATGCAGGCAGGAGATGCATTCGTTCAGTCTCCACGCCGGGTTCTGGGCGCTGGGACTTGGGACCACAGGGCAGACCCACACGCAGCCTGTGGGGGACCCGGGGACGAGGTGACACGGGACGGAGCTCAGGAGAGGCAGGGAGGCCTCACAGAGCTGACAGCGGAGGCTAGCAAAGGGGCAGGCCAAGCATGTCCCAGGAAGCACTGGGGGGAGCAGGGTGAGGCCTGGAGGAGGACACAAGCCTGGCGCACTGGGTTGGCAGGGGGCAGCGTGAATGGTTGGGGGCTTTGACTGCAGGGAAGCAGGGGCAGCGACGGGGCCTCTGAGACAGCGGGAGCCCCACACGTGGGGAGCCTGAGACAGGTGCACACTCAGAGACACGGAGGGAGGGAGAGCACTGAGCAGGGGGGACACCTGTGACCGAGCCACACACTCGCAAGAGGAGAGACAGAGACAGAGGGATGGGGAGACACAGACCCGCGAGAGGAGAGACAGAGATGGGGAGAGACAGAGCCAGGCTCACGGAGTGGCCAAGACCCTCACTCTCAGGGACATAGCTCTGGACACACAGGTGGTCACACCTCCTGGGGCAAAAGCCAGCGATGACTGCATGGTCCCCCTTCCTCACCACAATTCAGGAAGATTGCTGACATCCTGATGCTGTAAGCTGGCAAGGGAGGCTCAGAGAGGCTCAGCGGGCTGCCCAGGGTCACACAGCAGGAGTCTAGGAGCTGGGATGTCACTTGGCCCTGCAAACCCCAGCACCTACACCCCCTGGAGACGGCAGCAGGGAGGGGCCCCCTGGAGACCTCTCCTCAGCTCCGGGGCCCCCAGGAGCCTCCCAGCATGGGTCAGGCTGGTAGCTGTCCCCCAGAGGCCCGGATGGGTGCCCCTTCCCCTTCCTGATGGCCCCAACTCCCACAGACACCCTGGTCCTGGCAGACTGTCCTGGGCTGCACGGAGGTGGGCTTCGAATACCCCCACAGGCCTGGGTCTGCGACTCACTCCTGAACTGAAGGATAGGACAGGGTGCGAGTAGGGGTCCCACCTAGAGGGTCACGGCTGCGGCTGGAGGGGGCCGTTCGGACAGTCATGAGCATGGGCGGGTTTTGGGGAGGCCTCTCTCGCCCTCCAAGCTGTGCTTCCCCATCCCAGAAGGGCCACCGTGATGGTGCCACGTCCAGGGGAGCCGTCCCGGGCCCGCGGCTGCGTGGGGCCCCAAGCATCAGTGTTTGTCCCAGCTGGGAGCGTACGCGGTGTGGGGGCAGGGAGCCCCTGGGGACGCAGGGCGGTGACCAGGGAGCACCCGAGGTGGAGTGTCTCATGATCTCAGGCACCAGCACGGCCGGGAACGCCGGCCCTGGTCGGCGCCCGGGACGCAGCATGCTGCCTAGCAGATGTGCAGTCACAGATGACTCTTCCAGTGACGTTCTCGTCCGGACTCAGCATACAGCTCTGAGGCGGGAGGTGTGGCCCCCCCTTCCGGGGCATGTGCTTGGCCACCAGCCTGTCCCCGTGTCCCGCAGGTCCCCAAGATGCCGGTGGTGGTTGTGTTGCTCTTTTCATGCCCTACCGCACGCTGGTGCTGCTCAGCTCCCTGGTGGCCCAGCCCTTGCTGGACCCCCGGGTGCCCCTCTGCTGCCACACCTGCATCTCCACCAACAGTGCCGTCAACCCCATCGTCTACAGCCTCGTGTCCCAGAAGAGCCGGGACGCCTTTCGGCCCTTGTGCTGGTGTCCGTCGGGGGAGCGACGGGGGCGCGCGGCCTGCCGCACCGTCACCAGCTGCAGTGGGGCCCGAGAGACCCCCCGAAGACGCAGGAAGACAGGAGCCAGGGCTGGGGTCCTCAGGCCGCAGGGTCCCCCCCAGCAGCAGGAGCCCTCGGTCAGCGGGGTCTGAGGGCAGCCCCCCTCCTGCCCAGCGCCCTGCCTCGCCCTGCCTCCGCTCCCCATCTGCTCACGTGCTGGGTCCACCTGTCCACTGGGCCAGGACAGGCACAGATGCCCCTTTAGCCCCCGGGGCCCCCGCCGCTTCCCTCCCTAGGAACACGGGCCATAGGGTGGCCTGGGTCCGGGCGCTTGAAGTTCAAGTCTGGACTCCATGTGGGAATCCCTCACCTCCCCGGGAAGCAGGGGAGGAGAGGAACAGGAGGACCACCAGCCTTCACCGGTGTGACACTGTGACCTTCTACCCACCAGCACTTGTTATGTTAAGCGTCTCTTCCAGGGGAAAGCCTGGTATTAAAGTGTTTGTCAACACTGTCCTCAGCTGTGGGTGGAGCCTGCCCAGGATTGCGTAGTCCCCTGCAGATAGAGGCTACCTGGGGCCCCGTCGAAAGGTCCCCAGCTTCTACTGCAGACACCCAGAGATACTTCATGGGTCAGGGGAACCCCGACCCCAGGCCGCCCCAATGCCCCTGGAGCCCCAGCCTGAAAAGCGTATCCCCCTGGAGGGGTCAGCAGGGCTGGCCCCCTCCCTAGCCCACTGCCACTGCCAAGGTGCTAAGCAGGAGCTGGGGGTGCTGGGGTGAGCAGGGAGCCCCTGAAGAAGCAGGACTGTCCCCATGTGGTGCTCCTCAATGAAGGGAGGCTCTGGGCACCCCGCCGAGCCCGCCGCTCTCACCCCAGCAACGGCCTGCTCAGTGGGACTCGCACTGTCCACGTTACGTGCGTGAGACCTGGACGCCTCCGGGCAGGCAGCCCCCGCCTCCTGTGGGTGAGCCGCTGTGCTCCCGACCTCCAAGATGGGCACGTGTCCCCGACCCTGTCCCTACTCCTTTCGAGATCACTTTTCTGCTGGCCTCTGTGGTGTCCATTAAAAGCAGATTTTCCCTGGAGCGGTTTGGGAGGAGGTGTGTCTCCTGCTGGCCAAAACCCTGAGGTCAGGCGGGGAGGAGGGGATGAGACGGTGAGGCCTCGCCAGAGGATGGGTCCCAGGCCTGTGACTTTGTGACCAAGCTGAGTGGGCAAAGGTACCTGGATGTTCGTGCCTCTTCCGTCCTGTCAAGGTCAAGCTCCATTCTTGGTGCTCAGTGGCCAGTCCTGAGTCAGTCTCGCTCTCTGAACTGTTTCTTTACTATTTTTTGCACAGGAACATCTCACTCATAGGGAGGCTGTGTTACTGTCCCTTGCCCCGGACACAGGAATCAGGAACTAATTCGTGCGCCCTGCCTACCACCCCCCCCGCCCCCGCCAACAAAAAGTACCTCCCGCGTATCTGGGAGCTCAGCAAGCTGATGGACAGGAGGGAGCCCCCTGCTCCTGCCTTTATTTCGCACACAGCCGTCGGGGACCCCAACGCTGGTGCATACCAGCCCCTCTCCATTTCGCCAGCGGTCTCCTGGGACTGCGTCAGAAATGCAGAGTGCTGGCCGGGGCGCCGAGGCCTGGGCGTCTGTGACAGATGGGTGAGGAGCTGCTCGGTGGCACTTGGAGCAAGCCCAGGCACCGTGAGGTAGAAGACTGGGGCAAGGAGCTCTGTGTTAAGAAGCATGCGGGGTGGGGAGTGGGCTGACAGCTGGGCCCCCCCACCCCCTAAACTGAGCCAGTGCCGCTCACAGGCAAGGCTGCCATTCAAGGCATGACGCTCTGGATCTGTTTCCCACCCCAAGTGGCTAACAGCCAAAAGCTCTCTCGTGCGGAGGCGTAACCGGTGCTCACGGCTGGCCGTGAAATCCGCACAGACGTGTGCTGAGCTCTGATTTCTGCGTGAAAATCATTCTGCTACAGCTCGGATGTGAGCTGTCCCTGTGCCGCCCACCAGAGGAGCGCGAGCCTCAGCCCGCGGACGGCGAGCGTGTGTCCAGAACGCGCCCAGAACATGCGCCCCGAGAGCGCGGGGGGTGCGAGCCCCCAGGGCCGGGGGTGAGGCTGGGGGAAGCCTGGGCCATGGTTCACACCCTCGTGGTGCTGACCCCCACCTTCTGCTCTGCGGTGGGCGTGTGCGGCCTGCGTGGGGAGGGGACAGGGCCCCAGACCGTGTGACCCTGGCAGAGGCGACAACTGCTCTCCCCCAGGGGACAGCTATGAGGACAGAGGGGGCGCAAGGGGCTGCGTGCTTTCCAGCACAGCGTGGGGCTCAGGCAGCCGTGGGCCTTCTTCGGGGAAATGGCCGGACCAGCTGGGCTCCCTCTGAGCTTTTTAGGACGATGGGGAACTTCACCTGTGCGAGCAGCCGAAAAACAGGGACAATGAAAAAGGCTCCACAAACCTTTTGTTTTCCAGTCCCCTGGGGGCCGGCTTTCTGCAGAGATCCCCTTCCCCTAATGACTTACAGGAGACTCCGGTCCACTCTTCCTCGTGGCTCCACAAGACCCACAGATGACCCCTGGGTCACCAGGGACCAGGCCAGACCCTGCAGCTCCCTATCCTCTGTCTCATGGTTGATTTGCTGAGACCAGCGGGACGTGGAGACCATTTCTGGATCAGCTGACCCAGAATCCCCTGATTGCAAGACAAGCCCAGCCGTGGACCACCCAGGCCCCTGTATACCACCCACCTGCCGCCTGTCTGTTCCTCCCTCCACGAGCCCAGGGCAGAACCACCTGCAGGACATGAGGTCTTCAGCCCACGGAGCTCTCCCTATTTGATGGCCTTGCTGGAATCAAGGTTCTGCTTCTGGTTCTGTGTCTCGCGTCCTCTGAGCTGAAGACGCTGTTGGCCTTTTCCGCCTTTCCAAGCAGCCTCTGTTCCCTCAAAGCACGGGCACCCCCCACCGTCTGGGCATGAGCCTCTGTTGGAGGCAGGCGGTGTTTTGGCTGTCAGCGTGGGACCCACGCGGCCCTTCCTCGTGCCCCGCCCCCACGGCCGGCCAGGGCGCCAGGTGCGCCTAATGTGTCCACGCTGTTGCCCGAGCACCCAGCAGGCACAGCGGCCCTTTTCCTCTCAATTCCCCTTCGCTAGCCCCACCCAGGCCTCGTCTGCCTGCACCCAGCGTCTCAGGCGTTTTCAAGACGGCGTTTGGTTGTCGCAGGATTGGGCGGAGCCGTTGGTGTTTAGAGCCGCCTGAAGTCGTCCGTCCGGGAGCTCAGAGCTCGGTGACCCTCCGGGAGCTCAGTGACGATGCGCTCCCACGCTGGACCCTCGTGGAGGTAGGACTCCTGTTTGCAATTCGCGTGCTCTGCATGCAAACACCAAGCGCTTTTCTCGGGAAGTTCTGGGAGAGCAGGCCCCGTGAGGCCGAGGGGAGACCGCACTCCGATTTGGGGAACTTTACAGGCAGACGTGGGCGGTTTGCCCCTCAGGGCTGTGCCAGGAACTTCCTCCAGATGCCCCAGGGGCAGCTCCTAGCATGATAGCCTCTCTCCCCGCCCCTCCGAAGACCCTAATACTTTCCCCCTTGTGCTCAATTATTGAATTCTGTGGCAGCTTCTCTCCTGTTTGAGACTGAAAATTGATGGGGATGGTGAGCAGTTTGCTTGTATTGCTTTGAATTTTTTGCTTGAATTCTTGTCTGGAGGCACGAATGTCCCCTAACGCTGGGTCCAGGTCTCACCCGGGATGGTGTGTGTGGTCAGGTGAGCTTGGGGAGGCCCCTTTCCTCGGGACTCTGGTCAGGGGTGGAAGTGGGCTCGGTTGTCGAGGTGGGGCCGGGTCTGCAGCCAACACTGGCCTGAGTCAGAGCATTCCAGGTGAGGTCCTGCCCTCAACAAGGCCTTGGGGGTCTTCTTGCTGCTCTGCATCATGAACAGAGCTGGTTCTGGAGGGTCCGAGGGCCTGAGAACCCACAAATTAAATCGCAGAGAAAAACGCAGGGCAGAACCTTCGTCCAGGAGATTGACAACATGCAAATACCTGCAAATGGCACATGATTCACTCCTAGCCCCCTTATTTTGCACACCTGTAGATGGTCCCATGCTGTCCTAGAAGCCAGGTAACCACCGCAGGGGCCGGCTGGGGGCGGGCAGGACACCGGCAGCCTTGCTTAGTTCTGGAACATTCTCAGGCCATGAGCACCTGCCCACGGCCCCCTCCCCCGCTCCCGTGGCAGAACACATGGGCTCTGTCTCCCACCAAGCTGAGATAGCTTCAGAACCCTCTGCCACCCAGTTTGCCCTGGTGCACCTACTGTTCATTCCAGGTGCTGCATTTTCTGAAGGCTTCTGTCACCCTAGACCCATCGTCTGCTTCTAGGAGCAGGGGTGACCTCTCCTCCCTCCTCCCTGCAAGGACTAGGTGCTGAAGAGGAGCATGGGGACCCTGGCCCGGGCCACAGCTGCGGGCCACGGGAGCAGCCGGGGAGGGACGAGTGATGGAGCGCTAAGGGGGGGATTGGTTCTTGGCAGGTGCGCTCGATCCAGCGCGGGCACGGAGTTCCCAGCGCTTTACCAGGGAGAACAAGTTTGCATCCCTCAGGCCTCTGACTCCGTCTGGCTTAAGCAGAGGGATCTGGTGGGTCCACAGGAATTGCACAGGAGGTGGGAAGCTGGCATCCAGGGGGGAGTGCCACTGCCTCAGTCACCCATGGAGAAGGGCCAAACGTTAACCCGTCCTGTGGTTGAGCCTGGGGTCGAGAGGGGCTGCTCCTGGGCAGGCACAGGGGAGAGATGCCTGTGCTGACCCCCCCCAGTGGTGGCTTCCCAAGTTAGAGCTTGGGGGGGATAGAGGCTGGGGAGATGTGGGGAGAGGGGCGGGTTAGAGTCATGCTGGGGCAGGAGAGCCTGGGTGGCCGCCGCGCCTCTCCACATCTCGGTCCCTCGTTTTCTCCTTGGAATGGCCCTCTGGGAGCTCCGAGGATGAGGGAGGAGAGTCCTGGAATGCACTCTGGTGGGGAGGGGACCATTGGGGACCCAGCTCTGTGGCCTGGGCCAGTGGAGGCCACTTCCTGTGCAGGGGACCCAGGCCCCAAAGAGGTGACCTGGGAGGGAGGCCTTAGTAGGTAGAGGTGAGGGGGTCAGAATG